GCCCGGGTGTCCCGATTTCCCCCCCCCCATCCCCACCCTGGGCCCGGATCCCGCTCCCCGGGAAGGGTCAGAGGGCAGGGGAAGGGGTTTAGGGAAGGGCCAGAGGATGCAGCCGGCGGGAGGAGGGATTTGGGGGAACCCTGGGGGTGGAGCGGCCAGCCCCCCGGAGCAGCCCTTCTGTGCCCGCCTTTGTTCGACAGATTAAAGATGTGTCATTAAAACCCCCCGGATTTGGGATCCAGGGTGGCTCTGTGGCCCTGTCTGCGCGGGCAGCGTCCCCAAGCAGAGCCACAGCCTGCCCTGGTGCCACCCCAAATCCACGGAGCCCTCCAGGAGGGGGGACGGAGGGGCTGGGAGGGAACCTGGGGGTGCTGTGACAGCGGCTGGGCATGAGCCCAGGGGGAAAGGAGGCCAAGGGCGCCTGGACTGGGTCAAAGCCAGTGACTGTCCCCTGTGCTGGGGGGATCCTCAGATCAGGGGGCCAGTTCTGGAACCCTCAGGAAAAGAAGGGCGTTGAGGGGCTGGAGCGTGTCCAGAGAAGGGAACGGGGCTGAAGCACAAAGAAGAAGATCTGGAGAACTCCTGAGGGAGCTGGGGGGGCTCAGCCTGGAGAAAAGGAGGCTCAGGGGGGACCTTTGGGCTCTGGAACCCCCTGACAGGAGAGGGAAGCTGGGGGGGATTGGGCTCTGCTGCCAGGGAACAAGAGACAGGAGAACAGGGAATGACCAGGAGATGTTCAGGTTGGACACCAGGAGGAATTTCCCCATGGAAAGGGCTGTCAGGCACTGGCAGGGGCTGCCCAGGGGGGTTTGGGGTCCCCGCCCCTGGAGGTGCCCAAGGAAGGATGGAGGTGGCACTCAGTGCTCTGGGCTGGGGGACAGGGTGGGCATCGGGCACGGGGGGACTCCGTGACCTTGGGGGAGTCCTTTCCCAACCTCAGTGATCCCCTAAAAGACGTTTTCCCAGCAAACCCCAGACCCAGGGCACAAGGGCCTGACCCTGCTTTCCTCCCCAAAGAGCACCTTGAGTGATGCCCAAGAAGTTCCAGGGGGAAAACACCAAGTCGGCTGCTGCCCGAGCGAGGAAAGCCGAGGCCAAGGCAGCGGCCGATGCCAGGAGGCAGCAGGAGCTGGAAGATGCCTACTGGAAGGACGAGGACAAACACGTGATGAGGAAGGAGCAGAGGAAGGTCAGTGCCCGCCCAGGGAGGCGTCTCCTAAATCCTGGGAGGTCCAGGGATACCCCACACCCCGTCCTGGGCTCCGTTCCGGGGGGGAAAAGCCGGAATTCGGCGGCTTCTCCTGGAGCTAAAAGCAGCCCGGTGTGGGAGTGAGGTGTGAGCTTTGCTGTGCAATCCCCAGCTCCCGCTGGATCGCAGAGTTCCCGAGGGAGGCAGCGCCAGCCTTCTGCTGGGAACTGCTTAAAACCGAATCCAGGCAAAGATCAGGAATCTGGACTGTGCCCAAAACGCTCCTTTAGCTCCTTTTCGTTCCTCCTTTTCCTTTTCTCGCCTCGGATTTTCAGAGGAGGAAAATGGAATCAGCAGATTAATGAGGGTCTCAGAAAGCTCTTTTCTCTCCCTCCTGGTTTTGCTGTTCCCCACATCAGGAATGTCTCTCTCCTGAGGTTCCCTCTGGTTTGCCCTTCCCTGGGTCCCTGTTCCCATCAGTGTTTTTTGGGTTATTTATTTGGGTTTTTAATGTCCTGCTCTTGTTACCCAAATCCACCTCCTGGTTTTGTGGGGTTTTTTTTAGGAACTCTTAGTGATGATTTAGCTGCTTCCTCTGACATTATCCCTCTTTCCTCGTGCTGTCTGTTGGGATTTTGGGGGTTCCTGGGCTTGTGCTGCTCCAGGAATTGGGAGCTGTGGCAGGAGGCACCACGTCCCCGTGACCTTGGGCCCTTCCCACTGTGTCCCCTGCGTGAGTTCATCCCTAATTTGTGTCCTGGAATCCGGAGTCCTGTGGGCTGTTCCCAGAGCGATCCCGTAATGCCCCCTAATTGCTTCCTGGAACGAGGAGTTGTTATTGCTGGATTTAAGGGCTCGGCCGAAGGTGACCTGTTTGTGCTTCCAGAACAGCCTCCTGCGGGCAGGGAGGACGGGAATTTGGAGAGGGGTCGGGGGAGGGATGTGCTGGGAGCTGGGATTGCTGACTGGGAAACTGGTTCCTGTCCCCAAACTGCTCTAGCTTTCCTTCCATCCTGTGGGCGATGGAAGGGCCGTGTCTGATCCCGTTTCCAGGCTCTGGTGAGCCCTGGAGATCCCGCTGGGCACTCGGGCACACTCCAGGGCGGTTCTGCTCCGCTCACTTGCCACCTGCGTCATCTTCCTGGCATTCCTTGGCCTCCCTGCCGTGCCAGGAGCTCTCCAGCCTTTCCAGGGCCTCTCCTGAGAGGGGAACCAAGGAGCTGGTTGTGCCTGGGACCTGGCTCTCCTCCCCACAGCAGCTGGGAAGCTCTTCTGGGAGCTGGGTGAGCCATTCCTTGCTCAGGCACTTCCCTGCGAGGCTGCAAACTCGTGTTTTGACACCCAGATCCTTGGGAATGGACATGTCCCGCTGAAGGAATCTCATCCCCTGCTCCTCCCAGTGCCCTGTGGCCTCCTCGAAACTCCCTGGAGCTGGTGGCCAACCTGGAAATTCCACCTGGATCCATTGTGATCCTGCACCGTGGCCACAGACACATCCCTGTGTATCCCTTCCCTCTCCCCTTCCCTCCTCTCCCCCTTCCCTCTTTTGTTTGTTTGGGTTTTTGGGTTTTTTTTCCCCCTGACCTTCCAGGATCTGGAAAGGGAGGGAGGCAGCTCTCAGCCAGAGCACTGAAAGCCCTTAAGGGCTTGTTCCACGGGCTTGTCACCCTCTTCCCTGGGCAAAGTGGCTCTCGAGCTCCTTCTGGAGCACTTCAGGTTCCCACAGGAGCTGCTCTGCCTGTCGGAATCCGCCCGGCCGCGCGTGCCGGCCCTCGGGAAGGGCATGAGGACGGATCCAGGCTCCTCACCAGCAGCTGCTGAACTCCCAGCCTCCCAGCACTGATTAAAATTAAAGTGGAAAGCTTAATCTGATTGTCCTGGCATTCCTCCTCCGCAGCAGGGTCGTGTTTCTCAGGGCTGACATCACCGGGCAGGGATGTGGGAATCGTCATTCCAGAGGGATGGGGACGGGCTGTCTCTGTCCTGCTGAAGGTCGGGGTGATCCAGCTTGCTCCTGTTCCAGTGGGATTCCCTGCTGCTGGAAGGGAGGGGTTGATCCCTCTGTAAGGTTTGGGGGTGACCTGGTCCTTCCTCCCTTGCAGGAGGAGCGGGAGAAGCGGCGGCTGGAGCAGCTGGAGCGCAAGAAGGAGCTGCAGCGCCTGCTGGAGGAGGAGGACTCCAAGCTCAAAGGGAAGTCACCCAAGCAGGTCACTCCAGGGAAGGTCACCAGGGCCCAGATCGAGGAGACGATCAGGAAAGACCAGCAGCAGAAGGAGAACACGGATACAGGTTTGGGAATGCCATGGAAAGGCCCTGGCGAGTGGGGTGGTGTGGGATGGGGGGGCTGCTGCTTCTCCACCTGCTGTCACTGAAGGATGAGGTGTTTGGAAAGCAGGAGCTGCAGGCCTGGGTTGTAAAGCTTTGGCTGCCCAGGAAGTGGTGGATTCACCATCCCTGGAAGTGTTCAAAAAACACGTGGATGTGGCACCTGGGGACGTGGTTTAGCGGTGAATGTGGCTGTGATGGTTGAGGGTTGGACTTGG